TCTGATTTCATTTGAAAATGATACAATGAAGATGTACTGAAGAACTAGGGGAAACTCAGTGAAATACTGTGCTCACTAGCCATACACATGATCCGGATTCGTTTCCTGGACGGCCCACTTCTTAAAAGTGACTAAATTACCAGGAGAAAAAATGAAATTGAAATGAAGCTGTTATACATTGGACTTTAATTTACGTAAACTGACTAGGCATGAACTAATATGAATTAAAAAGCCATTCGAAATCCTAGATTTCCGAACTCATCAAAAGTGTGAGTCCACAATCCCATACAGCTAGCATGTGTCAAGACTGTCAGACCTCTGAGCAAGCATATTACCGTTCACCTTATGGTTCAGATCATAACGTCCATTTATTTCCACAGGTTGCCAGTATAACGCTGTCACCTTATGTTATCCTTGAGTAATTGCCCTCACTTGATTAAATAGACACTACAGGGTGAAACTTCTTGTTAAACTAGTGAGAAAGTCATCTCGAAGCTGCACATTACTGAGCAGTGTGGATCAATATTCGTTTAACCCTTAAATTTTGGGATGATAATGTTAGACAATAAGCGGAGTGTTCGTTTTTAACTATGTTGGTTATGACTGATAAAGTCTCTTGGCTTTTTTGAGTTGTTTTTTCTCAACAAAATTAGAAAGCTGCTAATTTACGAAGGGTCTCAGTTTTCTGCATATCTGGTGATAGTCAGGAAGACATTTTTGAGAGAACCTATGCTTTCCCATAAAGATTCGGGCTCATATTACCTAGTGCTGAATGCATAGACTGTACTAATGAGCTACTGCTCTTTTTATTCCTTCACATTCCCAGAGGAGCAAAGGACTTCAAGCTAGAGGCTTGAAGTCGCTGTAGCAAGGGTGATCATTTTTACAGAATGGGGTCACTAGCCTCATGTCCAACCTTTCCTCTTTACCAGCTTTTATTACTAGCTTAGCAAGGTGAAGGAGTGCGTTGACGGCCGGGGATCGAACCCCGGACCATGTGCATGGTCAGCGAGCGTCCCAGCCGCTGTACCACCGACGCACTCAGCTTCTGTGGCGACTACTGAATACCTATAGAGCTGGGATTGGAACATTCAATAACTGATAAGAGGTAGATAATATCATGATAATCCTCACTGTCAACCGAGTTCCATCGACCAACCATTGAGTGTAGTCACTAAGCTATAACAGCCATCAAAACTTTGCTCTAGAGGTTCTTATCGATTGTCTGCAGTGATAGGACTGAAACAGAAAACTCTTCATTACACCCACCACTACTCATAATTTCTATAGCTTAATCTATTTTTCCCTAGCAGACAATTTCAGAAATGCTCATAATGAGAAAAGAAAAATAGGTTTTTAAGAGTATCAAATTTCGAAATTGTTTATTCTGACTGTCAATTCATCACAAGTCTCTTATACAAAGTGTACTTCAAAATTATCATTAGAAATTCTAGTTATTCTCTCATCTAAATCCCCAAGAGGCAAAATAAATTTGTCATATTTAACTGTGTAGGTAGAGAAGAAATTCAAACAAATTTTTTAATCGATTCTTTAAAATAGAATTAGAGAAATAATATCCTATTGCTCTTTTAATCTGTTTATGTGTATGCATTATAAAATACAACTAAAAGTGAGCAATGATATATGATTAAATCTGAGACTGGCACCAACTATCAGCTTCGGCTTTCATTTAATACATATTTACATCTGTCTTGGTAAATCTGAACAACAACAACAAGTCACCCCTTACACTAACCTGGCTGGCCACTATCGTTTCAACTAAAAAAACTACACGAATGAGGATGCTACAGCCAGTCAAGATTGGAGAGGTGAGACAGGCGTTTATTAATGTGATATCAGTGTGGAAATCGAGCTGCATTCAGCGTAAAGAACAACACTAATGTCAAATCAGTGCTTCTGCATTATTCAGACACTTGACTCACGCATCATCAACAGCTGTCTTTGCTGTCTGAATACTGAAGACCAGATGGACAGAAAGGATTGATAACACTTAACTCTGAGAACGAACCAAACAAGTACTTATTGACCAACAAATATGCCGAATAAAATGGAGATGGATTGGACATACGCTGAGGAAGTCCTCCAGTGAAATCTGAATGTAGAGCAAACAATGAGTTGGATATCCGGGGGTGACATGAATTAGATAGCGGGAGAAGCATTATTACTATTATATCATTGTTCCCTTAGATTCCGAGTGAAACAAAAGGCTTCAACAGTACATCAACACTTTTTCCTGTTCTCTGAGATCCTCTTCAGCTGGCCGCACGGCTGCCTATAGTCTCTCATCTACTCCTAACATGATGTCCTCCGTGTCACCCCCGGATGACTCAGTCGTCATTTCCCATTTGGAATCCACTCGAAGATGTGCCTGACAAGCGATGTCAGTCGACAGTCTCCTTCGTGTGCGTCCGATCCATCTCCATTTTCTTCGACACATTTGTCAACCTACAGGTTCTAAATTGATTTGTTCCTAGAGTGCCTTGTTGCTAATCCTTTCTGGCCAGCCATCTGATCTTCAGCATCGAGACAGCAAAGGCAGTTATTGATAAAGGTCTGAAGTAGCTTGCTGAAAATGCCTTTCGTGACGCTTCAAGTCTCTGACCCATATAGAGGGAAATTAAAATGTTTTTCAAGTGTTGATTTGTAGGGATTTGGTTGATTGGTTACAGGATTTCATCATGAGCTGACATTGGTTAGAGAACCACTGGAAAACCAGTTGAGAGTACTGAACGGCTGTTTCGTCCTGGTTTGGGACTCTTCATCAGTACGCAGCAGCAGATTCTGGGTTTGAACCCTGGTGGTGGATGCGTACTGATGAAGAGTCCCAAACTAGGACGAAACAGCTTTCCAGCACTATCAAGTTACAAACCATGAAGCACTGAATAGGCATTTCGTCTTACATTCTGTGACTCTTCATCAGTACTTACTCATGACCCATTCACGCAGGGATCGAATCCAGGAACTTCAGTCTGAGAGGCAAGCAGCATTTACCATACAACCACTACATTAGAATCCAATAAGCTATGGATTCGAACTTTTAACTTGAAAATAATCGTATCTCTATCAAATCTAACATTTCACAGTTTTCTTAACTATTTTAATAAACTTCTTGGAAATTGTTTTCATCCTGGATTTTCAGATATTTTTTAAAAATTTGTTCTCCTTAAGAAATGATTCAAAAATAAAGAAATTTGCCGCAATTATTCTACAAAAAAATCTATTCCATATCTGTTATTTATTCGCCCATTTTATCATGTTCTCATCGACACCCGAATTCAATTATACACCAAATTAAAATGCCGCCTTTTTTAAAAAAAAAAGGAAACAATACTCTAATCACTTTGACTAGACTCACTAATTAATATTTTTTTAAAAATAAATGAATAAACCTACCAGGAAGAAAGTAGTTAAATCCTTTTCTTTCACACACACACACAAGAATAAAATAGAGCAGTAGTAGTACAATATTAGAAAAGAACGCCACTCAGATATTATGTTGACACGGGTGTTACTTTTCGTTTAAAGTGGGAAATAAGGTTAAAACACTGTAATCGTCCCAAAGACTGAAAGCTCAAAGTGTTTACCTCGTAACCTGAAGGATACGGCTATCATCCACGACAAGGTCATTGGTGCGTATTGCTGTTCGTCACAGACCAGGAGGAAAAACACCTATCCAGTATTTCACGGACTTCATCGGTAGAATGCTCACCAACCATGCAGGCAGTCCAAGTTTGATTCCCAGTCGACTCATTGCTAAAACTCACTGAGTTTATTAGTTAGCAGTAAGCCTGGATATTAGGGAAGGTCTGGTGTGAGGCTAACATCCCTGAATAAACAACACCACTAGTTCTTAAATTTCAAAGATTAGAGCTTGAAGCCTTTATGTTCCATTCCGAAGGCAAGGAAGGAGAAAAAGATATTACAGTGGTTGACATCAACACCGTTACAACAAAAGTGCTGAAAAGTTGAGAATATGATCATGGATTTTATTATTGGTCAGCAAATTTTATGGACTTCCATCAGATAGTGGCGCATTGAAAGGATAAAGAAACATATATATATGAGGCTTATTTATCGGTAGTACCAAATCACTCACTTCATCTGATATGACTATGAAACTCAATGACTCATTCTTACCTAAGTAAGTATTGATTTTCAGGGATTGGATAGCCTAGAGACATTACCACTGAGATATCTAGGCTCACAATAGACTTCTTGTACGACTAATAACAGATACACTTCTGATGAATACCAAGAAGCATGAAACCTACCTAAGTGCACAGATTCCTGTCGACTGTTCCCAACTATCTAACATTATTTCCTCTTGACTTTCGATTCCACCAACTGCATCGGTTGTGTTTTTATCAAAGAGGTGTGTTTATGTTACAGTTGTTATATGACCAGACAAAGCGTTCTTACAAATAAAATAGTAGTTAATCATTCTTCATTTTATCTATAAAAACACTTGATACTTTAAAAGTCACGCAAGCATTTCAAGCCATCTGTATTTCAAAAGAAAAAGAATAATAATAAATAATGTAGCATAAAGGTTCAAATTACCGCTTAAAATGAATGTAAATATGTACGCTAAATGTTTAAGATAACTAACAACTTAAACAAGCATATTTGTTTGATAACATCTGTCGTAGTGGAACATTAAACCACATCGCCGTAAAAATTGTCTACTTGATTATAACTACTTGAAAACATCTGGTACAGTACCTGTTGTCATTCTGTTCTAGCAACAGATATTTTTTTTTAAATAAAGCAATTTAAAATCTCATTGTAATCATTAGGAATATTAAAATGTTGAAATGTTCACCACGTTTCACTTTTGTTTGAAAAGAGTGTATTTCAGTCAGATATTTCTGACTGATTCGGCAGAAGGATATTTTGATACAATGCAATGTTAAGTAGGCAGAAATTGAACTTGAGGAGATTTCAAGTGCCAACCAATTCAGAAAGAGAGAGAGTGAGGATATTATTATTATTATTATTGTTCCCTTGGGTTCCTAGTGGAACATAGGGCTTCAACTGCACGTCTCCACTTGTTTCTGTCTTCTACTGTACTTTTCACTTGCATCCATGTGAGTCCATACTGTTTCAACTCCTCTTCACACGATCTCCTCCATGTCACCCTTGCACAGACGTCCCACTCGCCGCTTCCCTTTCGAGTTCCACTCGAGGGCCTGACGCACGATGTCACCCAGTGGCATCCTCAGCGAGTGTCCAATCCATCTCCACTTTCTCCTGTATATTTGTTGAGTGATTGGTTCTTGTTTTGTTTGTTCCCATAATTTCTTGTTGGTGATTCCTTCCGGCCATCTGATCTTCAGTATAGAACGAAGACAGTTGTTGATAAAGGTCTGCAACAGGCTGTTGGAAATATTCTTTGTGACCCGCCAAGTTTCTGATCCATATAGAAGAACTGACTGACTTGACGTTTGTATTGAAAATCCGCATTTTGTTGTTGATGAATATGTTTCGCGCCTTCCCGAGTGAGGATATACGCCATAGCAATTTAAAGCTGTCTTGCTTTTTATTTCAGTATACGTGAATAGATAAGAGAGGAGACGGTCAATTATAGTTTAACTTTCTTCAGGTAGCTGATTTTGTATTATGCACCTAGAGGAATGCTGATTTAATCATATCAGATATTATGTTTGGCTATTTTAAAAGTGTTCTATTAAGTAATTCCATATTAAGTCAAAGAGAACAAAAACCGGGTAGTAGCAAGGAAAATCTAAGGCAGGAAGTGACACATATAAGAGAAGCCTTGAAACTTAATAATTACCTTGATAAATTAGTCAGGAAATATGTAGGGAAGTGTCAAAATAAAATAAATAATGATAGTAGTGATAATAATAATAATAATATAAATAATACTAATGACGACATGCTTGTCAAATATGCGCAAGACAACACCAACAATAAGGAATCCAATTCATCAGTAGTAATTCCATACAAGGTGCGTCGGTGGCATAGCGGTTAGGATGCTCGCCAACGATTCACATGGTCCGGGGTTCCATCTCCGGCCGGCGCACTCCTTTACCTCGCTAAGCCAGAAATAATGCTGGTGAAGAGGAAAGGTTGGGCATGAGGCTGGCAACCCCATCCTGTAAAATAAACACTGCTACAGAAACTTCAAGCCACTAGCTTGAAGCCCTATATTCCACTGGGGAACGTGAAGGAAAAAAAATTCCATACAAGGAAGGAACCTCGGAAACCACGTTACGCAGAATTCTTAACAAGGCAGGAATAAAAGTGGCTGGCAATCAAACCAACCACTAACTCAATTAGAAACAAGATTTGTCTGTTAAAGGATCCTGCCAGTGGAGCCTTTAAAACAAAACATTTTAGCTTATCTAATACACTGCCTGCTGGAATGATTGTCAGGTCAAATACATAAGTCAAAATAGTAGAACGGGATCAGTCAGTCAGATTAGTGGAACACAAAACCTAGCAAAATCTAGATTGGTTGACCCGAATAAGATGAGAAATCTAGAGAATAGTTCAGCTATACCACTCACTACATGCAGTTACACACAACCATACAACAGGATGGGATAGGATGACAGTTTTAAAATCTAATGTCACAGGGTGGAGAGAAAAGAATTTATAACGGAAGCTTTGTTTATCGAATCAACTGCAAACCAACACGTGTAATAGGAATGGTTCAACACCTGTCCACCCAAATATCTGGAAAATTCTACTACCCTAACGACGACAAATAGGAGAGAATAAAGAAAACTAAAAAACTCAAATTTCAGAGTCGTGTGATTATAATTGATTGATACGATTATGAACAGTAATAAATTTTGTTCGAAACGTCATTCAGTAAATAATACTGTTTCACTAAATGTGTGATACATCTAATAAACAAACTAATATGGAATTACTTACTACCACAGTGCCCAAGTTTTACACATATATTAATATGTGCTATTAAGTGTTTTCTACTCTGGTGGAATATCTGTTTGTCATGTTAACTGTACTGTATGCGCGAAAACACCTCACAATAGCCTTTATCCCCAATCTTCAGAGAACAGTTTCAATAGGCCAAAATACACTCAGATGAGAGCTAACAGTATCTATCATGTTAGTAGAATATTTGTAGGCATAAGATGTACAACGAACTGGAATGCAGACACACTATTACGCGCTCTCTCTCTTCCTTTCCCTCTATATACATGCATATCTTGAAAAAATGTCAGACATTGTTAGACCCTTATAACATTTAAGTGAAAACTATCCCTACATTAGTAGTAGTAGTAGTAGTAGTAGTAATAATAATAATAATAATAACAATAATAACAGATAACCTTATCAATTATATCATTTTTACTGAAGAAGAAGACATACAATGACGTTGCTTGTATTGAAAGTTTCATTTTGTGGAAAAACGCAAAGTTGAGATGCATAACTGTTGTAGGAGGACATTCCATTCCAAGGCAACTCTAAGTGTTACTGAATAAATGTCGTAGGCTGTTTTTAAAATATTTGGCATTTAAATACAAGGTATATATCCTTTTTGTCTGATTAGGAAAATAATTTACAGCACCAGAGAGGATATATGTTATTACAAAACAAACCTGTCGCGCTTTCTTCCCAACATATTTGATGAATAGGTAGAACGGAGGCGGTCAGTTATAGTTTGGCTACCTTCAGGTAGTTTGTCATTGTATTAAGTGCTTAGAGGAATGCTTTAGTCATATGAGATGTTACTTCTGGCTATTTTAAAGATGTTTCAGGATTGATAACGAGCTGACATCAATTAGAGAGTCATTGGAAAACCAGCTGGGAGTACTGGACAGCTGTTTCGTCCTAGTCTGAGACTCTTCATTTGCACAAAACCACCGGGGTTCGAATCTAGCACCTCCTATTTACGAGGCGAGCTCGTAATGCATTCAGTCACTGGGACCAGACTCAATGCTCCACATGAATTCTAACTTCTTTTAATTCGTGATATATTTAGCGCAAGTGCCAGAAAAGGTGATTGTCAACTTTTTGTTAAAGTTAGTGAAATAGTTAATGTGGTGTCTGTAATACTAAGCGCGTAAACACCTCGCGATAACTTTTATCCTCATCCTTATAACACAGTTCTAGATGCTGATCTGTTTTTATTATGGTAGAAAATTCTAGTTCCGTTGTATTTTAATCGATTTGAGGTCATCACTGAAGTGTAAAATAACAATAGTGCTAATAACCAAAAATTATACGATAATTGAAATAATGACACGATGAATTACAAATAGATGAGGATAAAGCAGCCATTTATTTCAGTATTTACACAGTCAGGTTGTAAGTTTCCCGCTTAACACCATCTCTATCATATAGGTGAGAGGACCGAATAGGATATCGTTGAGTTTTCGCGCATGATTGTCTTAGCATATAATCTTTTAAAATGACTACTAGTCCTACCTGATGAGATACAAGTCGGGGAGAGTTGAGAATAGAAAGGGTGTTGAGAATCAGACAATATAGATTTAAACCATTGCTTTCATGAGTTCAGGTGTCTGTCGACTACAATACTGATGAGCTGATATAGTAGCTCACTACCTACCCTACTTGATAACGTTTAATATCCTTCACAGTATGACATAGTCCTTTTTGTGTAGCTCAAGAAAGACTAAGGGAAAGCGATAAAGAACGCTAGATAATAGCTTTCCATCGACCATGCTGAAATACTCAATTGAGGATCATATATGTATATATTATTGTCTCCTTTAGTTCCCGGGGGAACAAAGGGCTTCATGTATATATATATATATGTCTCACCTCAACTGAAAAAAGCTTGTCTAGTTTTCCTCTACTTAAATAATACATAATTCTGTATCCAATACAGCTACATGAATTGCCCAACCAGATCTTCACATTTCAACTCTAACTGTTCTAAATTATCAAAAGAATAGATACTGAACAAATAATACTCTTTTCGATAACCTCTTAGGCGGCCTTCGACTCCGTGGATCGAGAGGTACTATGGCAATGTTTGACTATGAAGGGAGTGCCAAGAAAGTACATTGCACTAATCAAGGCACTCTACTCAAACTCACGTAGCTGTGTAAGGGCTTATGGGGAATTGTCATCTGAATTGATAACAACCAGTGGTGTCCGTCAGGGATGTCCACTTTCCCCTTTTCTGTTTAACTTCATCATAGATATGCTAAAGGAAGTATCCTTAACTGAACTTAACGACTTAGGAATCGACTTGCTACCAGGGAATAGTCTTATAGACTTAGAATATGCAGACGACATAATCCTGTTAGGAGAGGACGCTGACAAAATGCAGAGTCTTCTGAACACCTTGAGCAGCAATCTTCGTATGTTTGGCATGCGATTCGCCCCTGTGAAATGTAAGATGCTGCTGCAGGACTGGACTACGTCAACTCCTAGCTTAGTGATACGGAGTAAAGTGATAGAACATGTTGACCACTTCACCTATTTGGGAAGTTGTATCAGCACCAACGGATTGATTGGTGACGAAATCACAGCACGGATCCAGAAAGCTCGGGCTGCTTTCGCTAACTTACACCGTCTCTGGCGTAGGCGTGACATCCGGCTGTCAACCAAGGGACGTGTATACAGCTCAGCAGTTCGCTCCGTCCTTCTCTATTGTAGTGAGACGTGGCCATTGAGAGCGGAAGACATGAAGAGATTGTCTGTTTTTGACCACAGATGTTTACGATCTCTTTCTCGCGTTAGGTGGTATAATAAGGTAATTAATGTTGACGTTAGGCGTAGAGTGTTGGGCAAAGAGGGAAAATCACTCGAAGAGGCTATGAAGTTACATAGATTGAGATGGTTAGGTCACGTGCTGCGCATGCCTAACCATCGTCTCCCCCGACGGGCATTACTAGCTGATATAGGTGCAGGTTGGAAAAGAGTAAGTGGTGGCCAAACAAAAACATGGCATCAATCCATGAAATCCTTGACTGTTAAACTGAGTCAGGTAGGGAGATGCAGACTTCCGGGTTGGGGCCCTCGGGACTCTAAGA